TGATTACGTCAACAATTTCAGTGTTCTCATCGCAGTGTCTACATGTCGCAGCGACGCCTGGCACTTGCCTTGTTTTGCTTGGTTTGTGCGAATTCTGCACTTTCACTGCGCCACTTTGGGGGATTTGTCGTGAAGTTGTGAGCGCAAATGTGATTTTTTGAAGCTACGGTTATAGCAAACAAGTAACACGCACGTAGCATTCATGTCTCGCCAGCTAAGATGGCCCAAGCTTGCCTCTCCAGCTGCCTCGTCGGTGCTCGGTCCGGTGTTGATTTAAGAATCGCTGCTCAGAAGAGAATCAAAGTGAAAATGACTTGCCATGCTGTGTGGATTTCTGCGATTCCATATTTCTCGGATGTTTTCATAATCATTTCTGGACACTGATGACAGTGGAGACGACAATGGGGGTGGTGTATACATGTGTGTCCCAGGCAGACGAAATGTCAACTGAAATTGCATCACCACTTTGTGTGAATATGTGATGCGGATGGGGCGGAGCTGCGGGAGGTGACTGTTCGGCAGGACTGGCAGTGCTGAAAATTGGCAGGCTTAGCACTGATTTTGAGTAGACCAACCTCCCCAGACAATCTGCGCATGCGCAAGTTTCTAGATGCCGTACTTCGGCCATCTTAGTTACAGTTCTCTTAACGCTGCTGGTGCGGCTGCTTACTGCCAGCGCTGTTGAGCATCGCAAGGTACGATTGAAAAATACTTATTCAAATTAAGAAGCAAGCTGGCAGACTTAATGATCAACAACGTGAGCAAGTTGACTTTGTGCCCTGGCGTGGAAATGGAGCCCTTGATGATACTATCATTAAGATCTACCAAGACCGACTGCTGAAAAATGCTTGCTGTTTGATGGGGTGTTCTTTTCGAGCATATTACTTTGATGCTCATGCTATTTACTGTAAATACTATCTGAGAAAGCTGGTACTCAATCAGCTTTCCAGATGTGTCAGATGGTCTGCAAGACAGTCTTTGTAAAATACCGCATAAGAATTAAAGCAAACTTTACCAATGTAAGGATTAGCTTAGGTCAGATGAAACCAAAAAAAGAAAGCGCAAGGATGTGACACACATAATGAATTTAATGTACTTCTTTTGATACTGTCTTAAGTCACTAAAGAAGCACAGCTCCAACAAAGAACAAGCGAAACACCTGAAACTAGGCGATGTAATTGAGCAGCTTTCTTGACTAGTTGGGTTGATAACTGATAATATCTGGGTTTCTGCATGTAAAAACACAATATTATTCATTTGATAAGTTTCTGTTTCTTTGTAAAGATATTTTTTTTAATCAAGAGGAGCAGCTGGAAGGAAGGAAGGAATAAACGTTTATTTTCGAAGCGGTGTAGGTTCCGTGTTCAATTTTGGTGGGAGGTCTCCTAATTCCAGAAACACTCTGGCCTTCGCTTCCTCCTTGGTCCTAGCGACCAGAGGTCGTTGCTGGTTTGGAAAAATTTGAATTGCGAATGGAGTTCAAAAGTTAGTTTGTCATGTGTCTTTTGTTGTGCACGACCAGTTGCACAAGTACAAGCAGCACACAGATGCAATGGCTTGAAGCTTCCTGACTGTACAGCATGCCAAGCAATATAAAAGATATCAAATGCACATGATTGAACACAAACACTCATATGCAATAAATATAGACGTTTATATGCTTTATGAGTTAATGTGTGAAAAGCTAGGCCACTACTTGATAATACTAATTCTGAATTATAAAAAAACTAAAAACAGGCTCGACTTGCAAAAACAGTGAAAAAAAAAAACGCTGCTGCTAATGTAGAAGGCACAGAATTTATCGTTAGGTGGCATTCCAATGGTTATTATTCACATACACTGCTGCATCTCTGCATCAATAACTAGGAACGATACAAAAACCAGCCACGCAATACACTTGCAGAGCTAACACTGTGGCGAGCGTAGCGCTCCTAGTTGTGACCAGCAGTGCCCTCCAGTGGCACGTGGAGCAGTCCTTGTTATATAAGGACCCTCTTTCACGCAGCGCACAACACACTTTTCCTTCTAGCATACTGTAACTACTTCATGGGTGCCATGTTTGCCTTAGCAAATAGATGTGCTGAAAAGGCAGTGCTGTCTAAGAAATCGAAAAGAAAAGGAAGGCGCTTTTGCAAAGTAAGCAATAACTTTACATTACTTACAACCTTCCGCAACTGTTTGAGCGTCATAATAATTAAAGTAGGATTCATTTCAGAAAGGTGAAAGAGAAAATTATTGGTAAAGCTAAGTGCTATTTCTTAGGTATTAGCAAGCATGCAGTTAAGTTCTGTAGCTTCCACAGTACTTTCAAGAAAACTTGTCGGCAAGTATAATCAAGGAGGCTTTGACCAGACAAATGGCGAGGATATTAGGGACAACATAGCGAACGCGGCCAATTGAAGGTTTCGAAGTGACCCTCAAGTATTTGCTTTCTGTGCACTTCTTTTTGAATGGAGGAGTCAGCTGAAGTGAGGATTTGAACGTGAAGAAATTACCCTTTTGATGAGCACAAGAAGCCAGCTTCAAGGTGCGCCACCGTAGAGCTACAATATTTTTTAATCGCTGTTTTTTTTTCGTGATTTCCACAATAATTTTTGCCACCTAAGAAAGTGCAACAAATTTTTTAAAGCAATTCTGCGTGGTTTTCAGAGTAGATATGTTGTAATCAGGTAAGAAAAAAAAAAAGTTACAGAAGCTGAAAGTTTGATCTTCAAAAAATAATTTTTTTGCCATATTTTGCTATTTAAAGCCGTGTCATCCCTTAATAAAAACTGGCAGCCTCTGCCCGCTAAATTGAGCAATAATAAAGTTACCTATGAGAGGATTAGATTAGAAATAGGCCTATCTTGCCTAGCAGGCCACTCTTTAGCATTCCTGCACAGCGATGCATGCATAGCATTGCAGAACAAACTTTGAGATCGTTCCCTCTTGCAAAATAGCACTTTGAGATTCATGTAATATTGATGAGTTTTCAGATTGCACCAGTTTTTTTTTTTTTTTTTAGTATCCTTTTCTTGTGACACGTAGCTCTGAAATTCTATGTGACATCACACCATTTTGAATGAATGGAGGCGGATACTAAGGGCTCGTTTGTTTTCTTTGTTAGAAGCAGTGTTAATTTGAACTTGCAAGAAAGCCAATGAAAGTATAAGGAATGCTGTATATAGCAATGATCATGTAAATGTGAAGAAAGTAACGAGGACCAAACAATAACTCGCCACTACAGCAGGACCACACTTGCAACCTTCAAAGAATATATGTGATGCTCTGCCGACCGAGCTACAGCAGTGTTCATTTCTCTGTACTTTTTATGGGGTATCCATAGGATTTTTCCAGAAAGTATTAAGACTTATTTTTGTTCCCACCAAAATTTAGTAAAGCTGAGGGGGCGGGGGATGGTTCTACTCTGGTGTTGGGTAGTGAAGGGACGTGGCTACAAGCGCACCAATAAGCAGTAGTCCCCAAGCATTCACGCCTTGTAGATGAAGTTTAAGGTTAACTCCTACCAAGATGCCTTTTCATCCCCACAATAAATTTTGTTAAACAGCATTACGTTCTGAAGCCTTAAACTGGATAAAATGGCAGGTACGACCCATGACATGATCAAGTCAGCTTGTGGGAGTGATGCCGTAGTCATTTTTGAGTGGCAGAAATTGTTTTGTGTAGGAAGAGAGCAAGTTGAAAATTAGCAACGTTCAGGTCGCCCTTCAAGAGTGAAAATTCATTGCTAATGCACTGATACACATTCGTCTCATGTAATTTCTGACAAAGCGTGACATCGTGAAGCTTTCGCCGCGATCCTACAGTCCTGATGTCACTTTTTCAAATACCTTTCTTTTCCCCCAATAGAAAAGGGTCAAGACGTGGAAGGACGGTACCACAGCTCAGTGCTGTATTGAGGGAGCTGAAGAGCATTCAGGTTCCTGTGTTTCAGGGAGCCTTCAGTGATTGGGAGAGTTGCTGGAAACATTGTGTTGATGCACAAGGAACAGGTCTTGAAACAGTTCATATGTCAGGGCTGTGAATAAATTTTTTAATTCAGTCCTACAGCTTTCTGGTACGAGTCCTGCTACTTTCTGGACTGAGCATGTACGTGCACTTAATCCTGGGATTGTTAGTCGGCGGCGCAGCTAGTAGCCATTAAAGAAGTGGGGAACATTCTTTTTCTGCCTGCTGGTGTCACGATGTGCATGACTTTTTTATGAGCTGGCAGCTGACCAACAATTCCTCGCATACTACCCGAAGATATTCGGTCCGCCAGAATGAGACCTTGCTACAAATGAATGAAAGGGTAACTTTAAGGGCTTGCTTTTTGTCTTAGAAAAAAAAAACAGTCATTAAAATTAGGAGACTTTAAAAGCAAGGCAAGTATTTGGGATGTTATTTATAGCAACTGTGATGTAAATGTGGAGAAAATAAAGTGGACGAAAAGATAACTTGCTACTGGCAGGCACCATTTATGGGATTGTCCTAGATTAGCCCGACATTTTCTGGACAGCGCTATTTTGCCCAAAAGTGAGGCACTGTTTTTGTCACAAAGTTCACACATAGCTGTGCCTTTTGCTTTCTTGCCTGCATTGGGCTCTCAGTTACCGCCTTACAACAGCTACACAAACTCACAATGTGTCAGCGTTTCAAGTCGGCAAGCATTGGAACGGTGTGAGGCTGAGTTTTGACCAGGAAGTAATTTATTCTTAATGGTGTCGACAGTGGCACAAGAAAACTTTAAAAAGGTGGCTTGGTTATAATTGAAGAAAAGAAAACACGGTGCGAGAAGACAAAAAGGACAAGACACGCAGATACAGTGCTGTTTTCTTTCTTCACAAGAACATGTTGTAATTACAGAATGCCCCGCATAACAGTGGTATGCAAATATATCTTTCTATGCTTTTGAATGCCAAATCTTGCTTGTTTCCATTGCTCTGAGGGAGTCGTAGCCGTAGTGTTGTGCACTGTGGATGCCATTTATTTGGCAATCTGGTTTTGTTTGTCTCCTGCAGGCAGCAGACCTGTATCCTGCTGACGAATGTTGGGGAGGCTCAGAGCATAGAGACCTTGGTGCAGATAAGGGTCCCCCTATGGCCACTGGGGGTGCACCACCTCACAACTACACAGATCCGTTCCCAGGCGTTCTCCTCAACAATGCCACTCTTGGCCCTCCACCTGTGGACCACAGTGGTACTTACCTACATGGAGCTGGAGCCTTTGGTATGTCACCACGAAATGGCCTCTATTGAAGGTTGAGAGCTGGGCTAGTGTGTGGCTAATCGTGGTGAAGCAGCACACTTTAGACTGGGAGTGTTGTGTTCTTCGTCCAAAGTGTGCTACTACATTATACCCATAATGGCCACCATAGATGAAGGAAACATCGAGATCAATAAAAATGCATTAGTGCCTATAGTGCACGACTGCTTATACCAGGCATTGTCACGCCATGTAAAGCATCTTGCCATTGTCACTAGCATGGTATACAGTAGTGAATAAAAGATTGGGCTCGCTATAGAAGCTTCTGGTGCAATGCTGTATAGTAAGGCTCCTCTCCCTTCTTATTATCTGAGTTGTTATGTCATGTCCATTAATGCGATTGGAAACCTGCACTCATTCATAGAATAAGATGTAATACAAAGTTCCTTATAAAAATATCCAGGTAAAATCTCCTCTGAGAATTGTCTAAGGCATTCATAACTATGGAGTTTTACAGTAAGAACCAGTATAGTCACAAAAGTTTCTAAAACTTAGTCTTCGAGTGGCAGTGGCATGGTGTCTTTATACGTTTCTGGTAGAATGCATTCATATGGTTCAGATGTATCGAGAAAAATTTTAAGCGAATGGAATCACTTGGCTAGTATCACTGGTGAAAATGTTTCTACAGTCCAACCTCTCTACAACGAACTCTACGAAATTTGCAAAATAGTTGCTGTAGCTCGAATCCGCTATACAAAATTGCACCGAATAATCTCCTAACCCTAGGATGTCAGCAGGCTAGACAAGAAATGAGATACTTATTGAAGAAAATTACATTTATTGGGACAAAAAGAATTTGTGCAGTGTAGTTTGTTTTGTCTGGCTGACTGCATGTCGTATAATGCCTTGCTCTGCAGTGTCAAGGCATTCCATAAACTTGAGCCTTTCATTGTCCTACAGTAGCAACAGGCCAGAGGCAAACCAGCCTCAGCCTCACTAGAATTTGGCGGCAGAGTGTTTTTGGAGCCGGCAGCTTCAACTTCTTTCGCTTTGTTCTCAGGTTTCTGCCATGTCGCCTCCACAGCAATTTCTATGTCAGCGAGTTCGGCAACTGCCTTTAACGCATCGTCATCGCTAACGAAGTCGTCCAGTGTCAGCGTGTCGGACAAGTCGTCTACAAGTTGCGAGAAATTGCTCTAAATTTCATTTTAATAACACCATCTCCACCGGGGCTCTTCAACTTTCTCGGCACCAACAGTGAGACTGGCGTGCGGAAACATTTAGCGACTGTTTCTTTCTTCATGATCTTCCTTGCGGCTTTTAGCATCTGTTCTGCTCCCAACAAGTCAATTCTTAGTTCCTCATTCTCACGAAGCCAAATGAGCAGCTACTTGATAAGCCTTCGCTTGCAAATTCTTTTAAAAGCACGCCTTGATGGAGCGGCTGGAACTTTGAGAATGGCAGGAGCATGAGCTTAGTGTTGCTCAATGGAACATCTGCGTAATGTTCCATTGAGTTATTGACAAAGAGCCAGACTTTCCTGCCTTGATCTCCATACTTCCCATCCCAGTCCCTCTACCATTTTCCAAACAGCTTACGTGTCATCCATGACTTTCGGTTCAAATCATGAGTGTCTGGAATGTCACGGCAGTTCCTCATGCGGTTGGGAATTTTGACAAGTGAATGAAGCTTTATTGAACCACCCATGTTTTCAACAAGGAGGACCATGATACGGGCTTTGTTTACTTTATAAACAGGACATTTCTTTCCACGAGTGTCGAGAGTTTACTACAGCAGCATTTGCCAAAAGAGGCCTGTTTTGTCAGCATTAAGTATGCCTCTTCGTAGCCACTTGTTCATTGCTCTGGCGTTCAGACATGCTCTCACTTAGGACTGCTTTTCTGACAATGTTGTAGTGATTCCTAAAGAATCCGTAAACCACCCAGAGGTCGAAATTCAGTTGTGGTGGGGAAATTGTGCACGAGTGTACAACAAACATGGAGCCGTGAGAATTTTTTGAAACCATGCCTTAATAGTGGAGTATGATGCGTTTGATTATTGAAACCGCGACGATCTTTCCTTTCAATCTCTCCTGCACTATCCTCGATGGTATTTTCTCCAGAGCCGCTTTTCCCTCTCGTCGAGTGTCCCTCCCAGTTTCGCGTGGCACACATCATCGCTGAACCGCTGCTTAAAACACCGTCTACTTCCTGTTGCTGCTACTCAATCCCTCTGTCAACTCTGTCAACTGCGTGTCTGTTGGCGAACCACCACTGCTGCGTCTGCCCGTGCTTATACGAACCATGCCGGTATGAACCCTGCATTGCGCACACACCTCAAAGGGTTGCCAACACGATGGCCTCGCACGCACACGCACGGGCAACATGATGAACATCAACAAGCAGAGCAGGCAGCCGCTTGCAGACTAATTGAAAGTCATAGGCTCTTGACGTCCAACTACAGCCTATTTGTGGCTAGTGTGGATACTTAAACGACCTGTCAAAGATATTTTTTTGGTTTGTCACGATGAGGCCAGAAAGGACCGGAGAAAAGGAGGGATTGTTTCTCGAAACTTGTGGCACGCCGGCGCCTCGTAGCACTGCCATGAGTAAAATCGTTGATCGCAACGGCATACTGCACGCGATGCGCGTGTTTACTTGAAATTTTTGAAAATATCGGAGGTGGTTTACAGGCCCTTTAAAACATTGCAATCAGCCCACACTGGCACTAAAATATTTGGCATCAAGGATGAGCGTGAAGTTCCTTGCCTTTTGCTGTAGCATTGGCCCCAACACTGGAATATTCCTAGCTGTTACATCGGCGAACCACTTGTGGAAACATTCTGCGACGTGTTCGAATGCCACGGGTCGACAGTGAGTTGACCTGCTTCTCACCCTTGTTCTCTATAATCTCCTTTTTCTGCCTCAAGAGTGTACTCAACGTGCTGCCTGGTATTTTAAAAGCTTAGCAATGGCTGACTTGTTTTCTTATATTTTGGCACGTTGAATGACAATAATAATAGTAATAATAATATCTGGGGTTTAACATCCCAAAAGCACCATATGATCATGAGCGATGCCTTTGTGGAAGGCTCCGAAAATTTTAAACCACGTGGGTTTCTTAAACGTGCACCCAAATCTGAGCCTACCGGCCTACAGCATTTGCGCCTGAGGGAGTGAGTATGAACTTTATTGAGGGCCTGAGAAAAAGAAAGCGGTGCCGAAAGCCCTGCCAATCAATCCGGCGGCTCCACCCAAGTCGGGACCGGTAGACACAGTCTTTCGGCGGCGGGCCGGGCCCCCTGGACAGCCTTGAGCTGAGGGATGAGCTCTGTGCTTCGAAGGGTGGAGTCCCAAAAGGACTGTTCAGAAAATTCTGTACCTACGTACTCTTTTCCTCCTCGCACAAATCTGAACAAAGTACAAGCGTTTGTGCCTCCACTGAAAACGTAATGGCCAAAGCCGAGATTCGATCTCGAGACCTGTGGGTCGACGCGTCAAATGATCTCCAGTTTGTTTGCATACATCAAGGCAGTCCATTTCTTCCTATTTAGCACCATGGTCATGGTGCACAACACCTCCAAGCACCACAAAAACGTGCTAAAGGTGGAAATGCCACACACAAACAAATTCACCGTAAGCTAGAAATGGCGACACGCAAACTGCTGTTGATCCTCTAGGCCACTCCATTCTACTGGCGCGTCAAGTGCATCACATCACTAAATCTATGTTAAAGAAACCGCCGTATTCTTTGAAAATGCCCATGCCATTCTCGAAAGGCGTTGCCTATACAACAAGAAAAAAAATGAAAAAAACTATCACCTCCATTTGTTGTTTACACCGCTTTGTTGTTAACGCACTAACGATGCATCAGATGTAAAAGCAGGCTGTTGCGAGCTCCCGCTATACTGTGGAGGAGCCGAACGCGTGCTCCCAAAGCGCTCGTACTACTATGTAGGAAATTCGGTATATCTATTTCACATTCGAATTAGTTTGTTATAAGAATGTCAAAATACATGCGTTTCCTTATACTTTATGGCTGAAGTTCCACATAGTTAATAATTCACTATACCCAGGTTCATTATATTGAGGTTCGACTGTATTTCTAGCTGGACTATGAAACCGAGAATTTTTTTGCAAGCTGGTATGGAAGCATTTCACACTGAAAATACGGGTATGAATGTTAACATCAATAAAATTCAAACATTCTATATATCACAGGAATGTTGGCTTGCCCTGATTGCAATGTCTCAGTAAGCTAAAGCGCAGTTAAAGCAGAATGGTGGGGAAACTGAACAGTATTTATTTGAATGCTTGTAAGCGGGTGTTCAAAAGTATATCAAGACGTGAGATGTGTTACCTCACGTCCTTGTTTCACCACCTCAACTTGAGTCCTGTGATAATGAGCACAACGAGATTTTCACCATGTGCACACTTAAATTTTCACCACAACAAATAATTTTAAGTGGACACACAAAGAAAAAACTTTTCTATGGCAAAATTAGAAGGTAATCATTGCTTTCTTTACTGATTTGTTTTGGAAAATACTTTTTTGAATTGGGTTTGGTGCTAAGTTCTTTTCATTAATTTGGGCTTTTGACCACATTGCTAAAACTGCTGCTTGGGCGAGTTGGTTCATTAATTCATTTTATTACCCCAAAGGTCCCAATTGGGATATTACATGAGGAAGTGGGTGATATAAAGGCTATTAATATAATAGTAGTTATGATGGGATCTTGGAAAAATGCTAACAGCATCTATATACATAAGAAAGGAGATGACAAGGACTTGAATTACAGGCTCCATAGTATACAAGCTATTTACAAAGGTAATTGCTAACAGAATTAATACAACATTAGAATTCAATCAACCAAAGGAACTAGCAGGATTTAGAACAGACTACTCAACAATCAACCACATTCATACTATCAATCAAGTAATAGAGGAATGCTCAGAATACTATAGCCAGTCACTATGCATAGCCTTTATAGATTACGAGAAGGCATTTGATTCAGTAAAAATATCAGCAGTCATGCAGACACTGCGGAATCAGGGCATTGACAAAGCATATATAAACATCCCGGAAAAAAAACTACAGCGGATCTACACCTTAGTGTTCCATAAAGAAATAGACAGAATACCAATCAAGAAGGGTGTAAGACAAGGGGATACAATCTCCCCACTGCTATTTACTGCATGCTTACAGGAAGTTCTCTGAGGCCTAGAATTGGAGGAGGTAGGGAAAAGAGTTAATAGAGAGTACCTTAATAATCTGCGCTTTGCCGATGACATTGCATTGCTGAGTAATTCAGGGGACGAATTGCAACTCATGATTACGGAGTTGGTCAAGGAGAGCAGGAAAGTAGTTCTTAAAAATAATCTGCAGAAAACGAAAGTAATGTACAATGTACAGTAATGTACAGATAGGTAATAGTGCACTTCAAGTTGTAAAGGCTGTGTCTACTTAGGGCAGGTAATAACTGCGGAGCCAAACCACCAGATTGAAGTAACTAGAAGAATAAGAATGGGTTGGAGCACATTTGGCAAGCACTTGTCAAATTATGACAGGTAGATTGCCACTATCCCTCAAGAGGAATGTACATAGCATCTGTATCTTGCCGGTACTTAGCTACAGAGCAGAAGCCTGGAGACTTACAAAGAGAAAAAATCTTGGGGACGTGGTCATTAGCTCAGAAAGCCACACGAGCCCTTGTGCAATTATTGACGGCCACATCACCTCCTATGAAAGCCCGCACTGGTTTGCAATGTGCATATCCCTCTCTCTCTCTTTTACTCCTCTCCCCACATGTAGGGTAGCAAACTGAATGTAGTCTAGTTAATTTCCCTACCCTTTTTTTTCTATTCCTTGTCTTTCTCTAGATGAAGTTTAGCCAGTACACAGACTATCTTTGTCAGGTATATCAAAATTCAAAATTGTTTTGCTGCGATTCTCCAGTCTGCTTGTCTTGGCTAAGTTGCAGTGCTATGCTTTACCTTAAGTGGCATCTGTTCGAGCTAGTTTTTCTTCTCCTTTTGGTCTCTTGACATCTTTCTGGTTGCTCTGAACAGTCAGCATTTAATTCCTGTATAACCTTCTCTGCGCCTATGACACCTTTGCCGAGTTGCAAAGTATGGCTGTAGAAGTTGCCATTTTCCCCACCGTGCATGAAGTATATCTCGTTATTGGGCACCTCTAGAAATGAAGAAATTTTGCATTTAAGAGACTTGGCTGCATTTTAGGCCTATGTTGTGAATGCAGCGCTGTTATTTTCCACTTGTCAGCCTCCAATACGTAAGGAGCATAGCTTTCAACGGAGCACTGGGGAGATGCAAAGAATGAGCTAGGGCTCTCTGAGCTTGTAGTTGCACAATGCCGGATTGTGAGCCTCATAAACAGAGCATGAATAAAGGAATGATGCCCTTAACATGCTCCAGTTTTTATTGATTTTTGCAGTGTTCTCATTAGAGAAATGACTTGGTGTTGTGCACATCAAAAGCATGTTGAAACTTCGCACTTCGAATGATTCAGGAAATTATGTTAAAAACATTTACCATGAGCAGCCTGATCAATGGATGATTTTTAATTAACCATGAGGCATGCTTGTTTGAATATTTTCACATCTTTCCTTGCTTTTTACATTTGCAGGAGCAACAGCCTGCACAGGGCTTCCTTGTAACAATGGGTCGTCAATGAGCGAGGGCCCCACATATGGCCAGGACTTTCCAGACTATCTGTATTCACCTGGCATTGGCATGACAGGCTATGGGGGAATGGGAAACATGACTGCTGCTGGTGGAATGATGCCGGGAATGGCAAGCATGGGCAACGTGACCAGCAGTGTGGCCAACTCTGCATTAGTATGCACACCCACAGACTACCTCCTCAATGACCTGCTTGCTGATGAAGACCTACGCCTGATGGACATGGTAGCCTCGCCAACGGAAAGTGAGTATCGCTACAATGTGCAGTCTGGATGCATCACCGTAATCGTCATCCTAGCTGCTTAAGGACAAAAGCTGTGTTTGCATACTTACTTCAGAAGAAATGTAACCATAAACCTGTCAAAAACGCTACTGATTAGCCCCAGGTAACCCTGCTTTCTTAGCTACCACCAAGAACTATTCAGTGACTGTAGTGTACAAGAGAGCGAGCTTGGGCTTGATGAAGCATTACGAAACCCACAGCGCACATGTACAACCAGGACACAGAAAGAGCACACTACTTTCTTGTGTTCCTTTTTGTGCATACTTACACTGCATGTTTCATAAATATTGAAAGTAGTTCATAAAATAAAAATCTGATATGCTTGGATATTGTAAAAGTTGCATTAGTGTAGCACATCACAGTATCAAATGTTTTGTAAAAGTGGATGATCGTTGATGAAGTTTTCAAGGAAACCGGAAAATAAAACCTGCTACATGAAATGTGAATTCAACGAGTCCTAAACCACTGCAAAGGATCGTTTGTTATTTTGAAAAGACATTGTAGTGAAAGTGTTCAAGAATTGTGCAAAAATCGTAAATGCAAACACGTAAGTCACCTATTTGTACTGTCTATACGGACTGTGTTATGCTCTAATAAGCGAGAAAAAACACACGATAGATTATGGAAGCAGCGCGTGTCAATTTGAGGAAGAGCGTGATCTATCTTGATATGGGCAACTCGACTGCTGAAAGACTAACTCTCAAGCATGTGTATCCTTCCTACGCGCTGTGAAGCATTGGCGTTAAATACCAATTTTCTACGTTGGTTCGCGCGCGCTGTTTCAACATCACTTTTACACTCATCACCGTTTTCTTATAATGGCGAATGGTATTGATCATATTATTCATCAGCTACGCTCATGTAAATGCTTCATCATCACACTATGCATAGTGTTCAAGCGTTAGTGAAGCATGCACGGGTAATCCACGGCAACGTCATCCTGCACATCATTCGCGTCACATTTTTCACTTTTGTAGCATTTCTTTTGTGCTGCTTCCGGATCTGTTCAACCACAAACCAAGAAACTAGGAAACAGCCACGTAACAAGCGTCCAAGCAGAGCTGCCCAACGAAAAAAAAGGCAACAGGGTGAAACCCGACGCGAAAAACGAGTACCAGGCGATGGCGGTGGCAATAGGGTTATCGCACATTTGAATAGAGCGGGCTAATAGGGAAATATGGGGGCTGTTTGAGGATGCTCGTAGTGGCAGGTACGAAGCTAAGCATTGTTTTTACAGTCGCGAGTGACTTTTTAAAATTGCTACTCATTACTTTGAAGTGTTGTACAGCAAAACAGTACATACGTTATTCTGAAACATTTGGCATTCTGAAAGTCGTAGTACAGTGAGATATTTTTGCATTAAACCAATGGGCATTTGGAAGACTATTTTCGAAAAAGTCATTAACCAAAAAAAATATCGGTAATTGAGGTTTGCAAAAACATGAGTTGACTGTACAGTAGAACTTCTTTATAAGAGACACTGATTTTAGAGACAAATGGCTATACAGGACACCATTGGGCTTACATAGAAGTAGGGGTTAAGAAAATGCATACATGGTACCCTGCTTATAGGAGACAACTCCTATAAAATACAAGTATTTCTTCCCGGTGCATGTCTCTTGTAAAGGGGTTCAACTGTATGTGAAAATTATACTAACCAAAGAGGTGTAAAAAGAAAGGTGGGCAAGTGTGCATAGAAATGGGAAAATTTGAGTCGGTTGGTGATGCATGGTGAACCACAGCACAACAACCGATATGAGAATAGAAAAAAGGCATACAAATATTTATACCCTGTCAGCAACTCGTTTTTATTGAGCACCATTGATGTAGTTAGTCAATTAGTTCTGAACTTTGTTTTTTTCAATGTCTAGGATCTAATTCTTTCGATAAGCAAAACAAATCCAGACAGCTGTGCCCGTCCTCCATCACACTACGTATATTGTACTTTTATGTTTTGTATGTGTTCCATTCCTGGCGTTTAGATCTGACTCCTATTGCGCTAGCATTGCAGTTGGCTCGACAACGACATGCCCTTTTCAAGTAAGCTCTCGCCGACGCTCATGTTGGGTGGCTTCTTCATTGGCAAAATTGGAAATGTTTACTATCTTGAAGGCACGAACTGCTGCACACTGGCACTCGCATGCTGTCGTACATTCCACTGTGCCTTGCCGTCTCTCTCTTTTGGTGCGTTCCTTGAAGGTTCACTCCTCCACATCCTCCGCCCTCAGCTCTCGAAGCACAGCATAGCAGCCTTCCCTTCCTACCAAGCCACACCCTCGCCACAATACGACGCCGTGAGATCAGCTCTACGCTAACCTTAGACATGAAAGCCTGAACCAACAACATCTGCGCCATTAATAATAATAATAATAATAATAATAATAATAATAATAAAACAAAAATTGGCCCCGTTTGTGCAGTAAGTCTATAGTCTTTTGTTTGAAAACACTGCGTGACATATGGACACCATGTGGCAGTAATACCAAGAAACTAAAGTTTTCTAGAATGCAGAGCAGCTGGTAGGCAGCAGCGCTATGTGATTTTAGCAAAGTGTAAAACATGCCCACTCTTTCATTCATCGGGCTCTTGTAATCCGAATACACCTTTACTGTAATACAGTGCTCCCAGATATATCGAACTCGGAGGGTATCGCGAAATAGTTCGATATATAGAGAATAAAAAATACAAAATATGCATATTTAAGGCCTAAATTGATGAATCTCTGGCCTCAGAAATCGTTACAAGAACTAACATAACGATTCGCTCAAAAACAAAATGCGGACTGCAGGTTACCGCACTTTATTTAGTCGGTAAACTTGTCTTGCTTCTTGCACGCCGTAAAGTTCTAGTCATCCTTAATATCATTGAAGCTTTTCAAGTGAGTGAACTTAGCTCCTTCGGCCCCAACCTCGATTGACGCAGAACACCGATGCAAGCTTTGTAGTGCGGCAAAAGGTTGGTTAGCAGTGGCAGCAAATGTGTTGGTACATTTATAACTGCACGGTTGCACTTCCGTTGCACCAACAATGGCAGCCAAAATCTCAGCATCGATGCAGTCGGAAACAATACGTCATCTGTACTGATGAAGGCACTACTTTTCGTGATGTGCCCGGAAATGCTGATAAGTCGCAGAATTCACTGTACACTATTGTCAGCGGTCATGAAGCACCTGAAGTTGTCACTTGGCCCGCAAGAAACATTTACGACAGTTTTCTACTTGACGTCTCTTCAAGGGCCAGTCATAATTTTCATCACTACGTGTGGGTCAACCTTTAGTTCAACTCCAGAATAAGGATTTATATTGAGCGAGGCAAGAAGTACACAAGACCACGAGGTGCAAAAGAGGCAGTGCCGAGTTTGTCTGAGTTCTAATCATTTACATGTTGGCGATATCGATGTCACTGTGGATTTGTAGCTGGCAGCTAGCGCTTTTAGCAGCTTTGATACGGAAAGATAATAAAAACATAGTCTCTGAGACAGGGGTTCTGAAACTGAAAACATCAAAAAATTTGTCACATGGTTGCACATCTCGAAGGCCATGCTTTTCAGGTTCACATGCCATTGGGCGCTAACAAACAAGGAAAAGAATGCGAACTACATGCGAACATTGATCTGAGATCGCCAAGTCACTTCGCATTCTCATTTCGGTGCCCTCTACAATCGGTCTTTTGGAAAAGACTATGCCCACGTGCTAAGACCTGCAGATCGTGCATCAAACGTACTGATGTACTCGCAAGTGCCGTGCAAAGAACCAGAACCGCGCGATGGGCTAACATAGTTTTTCCGTCGCCTGGACACGAAAAAGATCGGAACATGTTGGAACGCGACCTAAAATTGATCAATATTTGCTAGGAAATATGCAGTTTCTGGGCTTTGGCGCGACGCCGCGTTCGATGTACCGAATGTCTTAGTTCGATATACGCATGGGAAATTCAAGGGGATTTTTCAACTGTTCGATATAGTTAATATTTTGATATATCTGGGATCGACTGTATAACTAGGGCCCCAACCACGATCACTGTCACCAGAGTCATGATAGCGAACGTAGTCACTGCTTACGAATGGCTAGGTTGGTGTTAGGTGGAAGCAAAGAATAACAGCCACCGCCGATGGTATCTGTCTCCCAGGTTGACTCCATTGTGTGTTATTGCGACAACGATAGGTATACATGCATTCTAGAAATAAAGCAACACACTACATAATACTCACGTGTTGATGTCGTACTCAAATGTGTATAATATTTGCTTTTGATTGACAATTTTTGCTAGTATAAAAGCAACCAGGAGATCAAGATGGGTGGGCATTTAGCAAGGGGTTAAACTTTCACTCTGGTGGCTCAATCAAGTCACAGACAGAACCTGAAAGACAGGCACACAGACAGACAGACAGACCCAAATTTCCGCATTAGTTCATTCACTCAGTCCGGCATTCATGATGAGGCGACAAGTGATTTGCTATGTTATACCAGTAGCCATGGCTTTTTCTGGTTTCTAATGTGTCATCGTCACAGCTGCCATTTTCAGCAGCTCTGCAGCATGCAGATTCCGTTTTGTTGGAAAATGGTTTGAGCTAGTGCACCGAATAATAGAACCAGGATTTCTAAATAGATCAGTCAAGGTCAAGGTCAAAAACAGGGTGAAAAGTACAGTGGAACTTCGATTATACGTCCCCCGGTCCTACGACGACCCGTGTTTTACGACGAATTGGCTCGGTCCCGGCAAAACTCCCATAGAAGCAATGTATTAAAAACCTCAATTGTACGACACAATTTTACGCCGGCCCCGCCTCGTACGACGCTTCCCTGGACTGACCGAGTAAAAAAAAAACAGAGACGACGACGCAGACTGCCACGCAGGCACACTCCGGCAGCGCGGCCGGATTAAAGTCGAGAAACCGAGCTCGTTTCTGCATTCCATGCTGCATTCTCTTTCCGCGGCGCTGCATTCACGGAGCCGCTTCAA